AGATACTAAAATCCAAGAACTAAAAAATTGTCTATTTTTCCTATACTTCCTATACATGATATGTCATTTAAATAAAATAAAATAAAAAAATAATTCGGATATTTTAATAATATTGCTGCGCAAATTTACGGATATTTTCGAATATTCTCACGGTTTTACAAAATACTGCGCAAATTTGCGGGTATTTTTGCGGATAACTACACAATTATGATGATCCGCACTGTATATTGTTTAATAAAATCAAACATTAAATAATTACGAACTCTCCAGGAATGCGTCCAAGATCACCCAATTTTCAAACTGAAACCACTACTAGTTACAATGACGCTAATATGTTGTCTGATCAACTTTTAGGAAATTTAGAAGCCAAAATTCCATGTGAAAAAAATGACAATTCTTTTATTAATAATAATAATAATCAATTTATTATGACAAAACATAGAATAAATCATATGCCGTTAATTAGACTATATATAGAAAGAAAACATTGGAGATGTGTATCATATTTAATAGTGGTTATGATTATTTTAGCTTTGCTTCCAGGTGTTTTGATGTTTATGAACTTCTTGTTGTCTTTGAGAAATGATCATCCCAAAATAGGTGCGTTAATATTTTTCAATCATAATTTATAAAATGGATGTTTTCATCATAATATTAACAATAATAAAAAAATTTTTGTATGTTTTTAAAAAAAAGAAAAACAAAATTACCAACCAGTAAAATATATTGGTATACCTTCTAATGTAACAACTGAGTTAAATCAAGTTACCAATATTTTTCATGTCACAAAAGAATTCGGATTAGCATCAATGGGTGGATTAGGTCATATAGTTACGGGATTGTCACAAGCTCAAACTGCTAATAGTGCATTAGAAGTGAATGTAATCATGCCTTACTATTCTTTCTTGAAGTCACACCATGACATTCATAGTTTTGCTCAAATGTCAATTGATATTTAAGATAAATATGGGAATTCAAAACAGGTGGTGTTTACAGTATATCAATTTTTTTGGAATGTAACTCAAGATGACAATGTATTGAATGATGAACCACCACCAGAGCCAAAAGCTATAAGGGTTTTTGCGATAGGTCATAGTAAAGATGCAGCACCTTTTAATTTAGCCTTTAAATCAAAAAGAGTCACTGATTTAATTCAGAATTATTATCCGTCGGATTTAAAGTATTTTTTGCTTCAAAACTTGGATCCTGCTTTTATTAATATTAATGAAAGTATTGATAATCTTATTTTGAGCTTTAAATTTAATTTTTTATTTTCATTACCTTTTTTTTTCCCCAAGCAACTACCATACCCCATCCAAACTCCATATTTGCATGTTTCACCCAAACCAAGCGACCAGGCCTCATGAATTTTAAAATGTTAAGTGGATGATTTACAATATTTCTTATATCATGAATATATGAATCTAAAAGTGACCTTATATTAAAATACTCTTTGATTGCATCTTCTTCTGGTACATCAAAATCTTTATATTCTTTTTCTAATTTGCTTAGCTCTAATTATTTTTATGAAAGATTTAGACAATTGATTAATATTCATTACTCTGAAAAAAAAAAAGCTTTTATATTTAGAACACATTGCATACCTGTTTCAAGTTTTGGTAATCCAGCTGTATTCTGAAATTGATAAAAACTTCTCTGAAGAATGTAATCAGGACTAATTCCTTCAACTCTGGTCATATTTAAAATCATACTGTATTTTAAGTGAAATGCAGAATATAAATTGTCGGGTCTACCCTATTTTTATAAAAATTCAAATATTAAAAAATAATTTCAATTAGTTTAAAATAAATAATGACGTTGAAGGTAAACTTACCATCACCATCCCTTTAACAATCGATGGTTCTAACTTTTCTTTGGCCATGATTATTACAATTCCTCTTGAATCAAGACCTCTCCTACCTGCACGACCTGACATTTGAATATACTCACCAGAGGTTAACTAGATTAAAAAATAAAATCAATTTAATAAAAATAATAAAGAATAAAATTTTTTATCAAAAATACTCACATATCTTACACATTGACCATCAAATTTTTTTATATCAGAAAATACAACAGTTCTAGCAGGCATATTAAGACCCATAGAGAACGTCTCAGTTGCGAAAAGAATCTTGATTAACCCTTCTTGGAAAAGTAATTCAACGACCTCTTTAAGGAATGGTAATAATCCTGAATGATGAATTGCAATACCACGTCTTAAAAATGGTAACATATTTCCAATTTGTGATAAATCTTGATCGTCATCAGGAAGCATGCTGAGTGCATTGTCAAATACTTGTTGTATTAGATCCTTTTCTTCGTCTAATTTTCAAGTAATTCATTAAACTTATTTATAACTAATTGATTAAAATTAAAAAAAAAAAATAGATTATTATCTATTTTACCTCCAGTTAAGTCTAAATGATTTACTTGCATAGCTAAATTCTCACACTCTCTTCTACCAAATGTGAAGATTATTACCGGATCGTATACTTTTTCCATAACCATACTTACAATTTTATAAATATCGGACTTTTCTATAATTTAACAATAATAATATAATATAAAATATAAAGTGCAATTATTATTAAAAATTAACATTTAATAGAAATCAACTAATGAGTAATTTCTACCTTTTCCCGATGGTATTATTGTTTTCTTTCCCTTGTAATCAAAATATTCAACATTAGCATCTACATCCAACATTCCTGTTGCTTTTCTAAAATTTTCTTCTTGAAAATTTCCTTCCTCATCAGCAATCATCAAAATGCCATCACCTCCACAAGGAAAAATATAATGTTGTAATGGAGTTGGACGAAAATCGGTGTACACAACATGACACGGCTAGTATTATCAAATATCAATTTTATTTGAAAAAGAATTATTAAATAAATAAGCATTATATAAATATCATAAAGAAAATCATTGAGAATAATAAAATCTTACTTGTGCATGTATTTTGCATATCCATTCAGCAAATTCCATAGCATTGGGAATGGTTGCAGATAAAAATACAAAATGAATTTTATTTGATAAAAGAATAATCGTTTCTTCCCAAACAACTCCTCTGACTTGATTAAAATGGGTAAACATTAATAAAATGATTCTTGAATAAATTAAATACTTTTTTTTTTGTACAAAAATGCAAATAAACAAATACCTTGATCTTTCATGTAATGTATCTCATCAAAAATCACCCATGACACTTCATGCATCATTTCATTTCCACGATAAAGCATAGTTAATAAAATCTATTTAAAAGATTTAATAAAATTTTGAATATTTAGAATAAAATTTAATAAAATTTAGATAAAATTTCTAAAACTTACCTCAGTAGTCATCACTAAACAACTTGCATCTGGTTTGATGGAAACATCGCCAGTTATTAATCCAACATCTCCAAAAAAACTTTCTAATTCTCTATATTTTTGGTTGCTTAGAGCCTTAATAACAATAATAATTATAATAAAATAACAATTAATTTATGTCAAACCACGCCTCCTACTTGTTAACAAACATTTTTTTCATACCTTTATAGGACTCGTATAAATAACTCTCTCTCCTTTTTTTAAAGCCTGTGCAATAGCATATTCTGCTACCGCAGTTTTACCAGCAGAAGTATGTGCACTTACTAGAATTGATTCAGATCTTTCTATGCATTGTATCGCAACTTTTTGAAATGGATCTAATTCAAATGGAAATACTTTTGCAGGCTCTTCAGGTGAAACATGTTGAGAAAGTGGGATGTAATCATAATTAGGAGGAATTGCTACTTGATGACGAACCTAATTGATTATAAAATAAAATAAAGAATTTATCAATACAACATATCATATATGATGATAATTAAAAACTTTTGAAAGGTACCTGATGACTTAATATAACATCCCTAGCTTCGGGCAATTGATCCTCTGGCATAAAGCCAGGCACAAAGGCAACAGTCCTTGTTGATTCTTCTTGAAAAGTGTCAGCTAATATGGGTTGAATGTTATCCGTATCAAAGAGTTTTGGCGTTATGATTTGTTGCATTTTGCTGTTGTAAAAATTTGTTACACGAGAAATTACGACGTTTTGTTGTATACATCATAATCATATTTTCAGTAAGTGTAATGATTTCAAATTGTTAACGATACCATAGGCGAAATAGAATTTTATTAACCTTTGATATTTAATATTTTCAATTTTTATTTCTTGAATAGAATTTGAAGAAAGAATAGGGTTATTATGTATAGCAAACAAGTTGAGAATATCAATATTAAGAAAAATAAATAAATAAATCACTCGTTGACATGTTTACCCCTGTTTTATTTGATTGAAGAGTTAGTTAATTAGTTAGTTAATTGATTAATTGACAATTCAACATATAATAAAGAGAACATTTATTGTTTGAATAATTTGAAAGAGTAGTTTGTGAATGTAAAAAAATAAAATTATCTTCTCTAAAAAAAAAAATTAAAACAAAATTAACAAAAAAAACTTGTACAAGATCAGTTTAATTATCTCGTCCAAGTTTTTTTGAATCTGTTGAAAAAAATATTCGATAGATAAAATACAAATTTATTTATTAAAATAGTATAATATAACATAATATAAAAATAAAAACTTTAAACAATCAAGTTCTTATTAAAACCCATAGCTATCTGGATAATCAGGCCCTGAATTATGCGAAATCCATAAAATCACCGCACTAAACAATAATAAAAAGAACCTATATACATTAGTGAATTATTCCAAGATGGATTAATTATATAAGGTTTTTTTTTTTTGGAGAAAGAAAAAATTAACCTGAGCATAATGGCAAAGTTTTGGATAACCAATGCGATCCCAAAATATAAAAATTCGGAATTAGCAATTGCCAGAATATATTTAAGGATCAAAATTGTCTAAAAAAAATACAATGATGAAAATTTTTGGTTAAAGCAATGTTAAAATACGCATAACATAATAATATAACACATAAAATTAACTCAGCGTACCACAGATCCGGCCAATCCGCCTGCCATTAACGCAAACCCTACAAATAAAAACAATCGATCCCTTGTATCAACAGAAGAATAACCGGAGTAACTAGAGTAATCACCAGCAAGACTATTTTTGTCAAGTGAATTCACGCTAAATGAAAAATATTCCAGGTTTGTTAATATGAATTCCATTTAACAATCCTTTTTTGTATAAGGTCTTAGCAGAAGAAAAAGATCAACTTACACCATCATCCCTAACGTAGTAGATATACCGCACATCCAATCTTCAAAATTTATGGATGGTGCATCTTCTATATTGCTGGAATAAACCACTGAATCGATAAAAAACCACCATCCTAAAGCAAACTATGAATAAATGAAAAATATATGTGTGTACATATATATGAATGAATGAATGAATTTGACTAATCTAAGTTAAGCTAAACTAAACTAATCTGACAAAGATTAATGCATGGATTTAAAGAATTTAAAGAATATAAAGTAAATTGATTTTACCAATCCCCCTGAAACATAAATTCCGAGATCTCTGTTCTGTTTAAATATAGAAAAGTTCGGAATTGGGAATAAACAAAATCTGCCGCGATCATCATAATTTTGCCAACGATTTGACATTTTATCGTTAAATTAGAAGAAATTAAATGTTTTATAAAATAAAAAAGAGAAATGTATCTCCGTTGATCTGCGTGAAATGTCACAAGACTGTATGCCACATTTGTGTCACGGATTTAACTTAATTGGTTGAAATAATGTAAATTACAAATAGTCAGTCGGCTGAACAAAATAATAGTTGTTCCTAACGAAGTTTAGTGCCATGCTTAAATCAAACCTTGTCACAACGGACTATAATTAAATTCTTGTCAATACAGTGGACCAGTGATGTGCGTTGGAAGCTTCCAAAACCTTTTATTGGAATTTGAAGCTTCCAATCAAGCATTCCAGTCAATGAAATTCGAGAATTAAAAATTAAATTTTATTAAATTTCTGTTCCTTGATATTTTTTAACCAACTATTAAAGGTAGATTATTGCTATATAATAATTACTGATTGCAGAAAAGTCTTTCATGTGTTGTGTATGGGGCATGCTGCAACAAAACCAGACAAAGTGAACATTGGTATTACCAAAGATTTCAGGGATCAATAGTGTTTTTAACATCACAACTGTGTTACCAATGTAATGTGATCACAATATTAATCTAGACAAAAATGAAGTCAATTTACATCAGACCTACTATGGAACCCAAGGATTATAACACCATTAGAAGTATTCTGAAGAAAGAACAAGGGGAGAAAATTGCCCCTTACATTTTCAAAATAAATGATACTCAGACACAAGAAACTTATCTAAAAAAAGAAAGGATTACTTATGAAATTTACCAAGAAGAAAGAGTTTTCAAAAAAGTATTAGAGAATTCTAGTAAAGAATCAAGAAAACTGGCAGAATAACAAATAATTACTTTTTTTCAACTTTGTTACTTTTTTATTTACCTTTTATTTTCAATCAAGGTCCATTTTTAGTTTCTTTAACTTCAATTTGAGCAACTAATTGATCATTTTGCTGTTGTAATTGGGTTAATTGAAATTTTAAACCATTGATTTCTTTTATTAATTCTTGGGGAGTTAACTCTTTTAGTTGCTTATTTTCCTCTTCTAAATGCTTAATTCTATCCAATAACTCTTGTTTTTGTCTTTTATGCCAATCCTCAGCCACTTCCAAAGCCTCTAAATGAGTTTCTACTTCCTTGGTTGATTTTTTTCTTCCTTCAAACCATTTATTTGTGTTTCATAAAAAAGTGCCATTCTTCCATTTTGGTGAGCAAAAGAGGAAGTTCTTTTTCTTTACAATCACAAGTGTATCTGGTCTTTAGCCTACACAATGCCAAAGAGGGGGATTTGGGACAAATCCACCATGATGGCATTCGTGTGTCTATCCCCTCCTGGAAGGCCAAGAAGCTAACAGTTTTTTATTTCAGATTTTTAGCCACACTTGAAAGTGGCGAATTTTAATTTTTAGACCACATTTTTGACTCATTTTGGTTTGATTTTTTATTTATATATCAGAAAACACCTGTAGAGGCTATAGATTTCTTAATTATCTAACTAACTTTTAGCCATTTTTATTACTCCTAAAGCTTAAAAGGCTATGCAATCTAAAAATCTAACAAAAAAATCTAATGAAATTTTATACCACTCAGCTTTCCATTAAAAAAGGGCTATCAAAGAGAATAGATATTCATTACATTCATATCTATGAAATGAGTTAGCCCGGCCTATAAAGCCAAATAGCATAACAATTATAAAAATCTAACCAAAATCTAACCAAAAAATTCCAGCTGATACCAAAAAATCTAATGAAATTTTATACTACTCAGCTTTCCATTAAAAAAGGGCTAGCCCAAATAGTATAACAATTATAAAAATCTAACCAAAATCTAACTGAAAAAATTCCAACCAATATCTTTTTTTACATATCAGAAACAGGCTCTAAAGCATTTCCAGAAAAAAATTGTCCTTTGATAAAAACAGCTCAGATCAAGTTCCTGATATACACCTAAATATAACCAAAAAATTCCAAATGATATCTTTTTCACATATCAGAATCAGGCTCTAAACCATTTCCCTGAAAAAATTGTCCTTGGATAAAAATGGCTCAGATTAAGATCCTGATAAATTAAAAATTTTGTGATCATACTCTTCAGAGCCATACTTCATAGCTTTGTCACACACTCTATGATAGACATAAAACCCTCTAATATGCAAAGGGCAACAGCCAAAAACCGAGGCAGTAGGCTTACCACACTCAGAGCATGGAAACCATTTTTTGGTTTTATAGTGAAAATGACACCCTTCAGGGCACATACAAGATTTTCCGCAAATGGTACCAGAATTATGTAGATAGGAGCAGGTATAATCACCATACATTTTTTTAATATAGAAATAATTATTTAAAGAAAAGATTTTTTATACAAGTAAAATAAAACAAAACAGTTAGACCAACATGGTAAAAAAGAATAGAACATGTGAATGCTGTGGCTATACATGTGCAACACCTCAAAAACTTCATGAACATCTTAAAAGAAAAAACCCATGCAGATCTCAAAATTTCATACCTGTACAAGTCCCCATGGCTGAACCCGAAATAATTACAAGTTTCACTCATACAGAGCCCTTTCCAGTCAAGAATCTCAATGACAGAAATCCAGGGGAAACTGTTAAGAATGGGGCTCAAGATTGTGAAAAAGATATAAAGAAATAACATATGGGGTATACTGTAACAAAACCAGACAAAGTGAACATTGGTATTACCAAAGATTTCAGGGATCAAAATTTAGTCATTTGTAATGTGATCATAATTAACAGTTTTATAGTATCCCATTTGTTATTTTAAGTGATATATAGCACTACTCTTATATAAAAATAGTTAATATGAAGTTAATTTACATTAGGTCTATCATGGAACCCAAGAATTATAGCACCATTAGAAATATTTTGAAGAAAGAACAAGGTGAAAAAATTGCTCCTTATGTTTTCAAAATAAATGATACTCAGACACTTGAAGCTTATCTAAGAAAAGAAAAGATTACCTATGAAATTTACCAAGAAGAAAGAAAAATAAATAATAATGTTACATTCTTTTGGTTTTCCCCTTTTATCTCTTGCATTATTTAATTCAAAGTCATAAATAAACCTTTCTCTACAATACTCTTTTTCATTTTCAGAAAGTTCCTTGTTTTTTTTGACCAATGAAAAAAAATAATCTTTTATACTTTCTTCATCAGAATTAGCATTAGCATTATTACGCATTTCATTGTCAATTCTAAATACAAAGTCCTCACTTTCTGATGATAACAATGATAATAATTTAGCATATGACATTATATAAAATATAAAATATAAAATTCGACTTGGTGTTTTAATGAATGTGAGAATAACGGCTACATTATTTCCTTTTTCTTTGAATGGCGTGTAACAAACAATTTTTTTTGTACTATATATACATTTTTTTTATAAGGATGTAAATTGAAAATTGTATTTAAAAAACAAACTCCAAACTTTAGCGATTGATTTATCAACTAAGAAATTCTTTGAAGATCTAGAAGTGATAAAAATAGAAAACTACAAAAATATGTACCAAAACCTGACTTATGTGCTATGTAAAGGTCGTTCTAAGTACCAATAATCAACTTATATTGCTTCAAA